CAATAGGACTTGAACATTTATTTGTACTAAATGAGAACAAATAACTAGCATTCATTTTTTCAAGAGCTATTATAACCATTATATTTGTTAAACACTCGAAGATGAAGATGAAGAAGAAAAAGAAATGACGATTCATTTCCCAATGTCGTCATCATCTCGATTCCACGTACGTTTAATGCGTGAAGAAGATCGCAATGAAGTATTATCTTTATTACTAAACTCATTTTTTCAAGAAGAACCTTTAGCAAAATGTCTTGAATTAAATGAACCAATTGATTTTGCTGGAAATGTTATAAATGATGCATTACATGATCATTGTTCATTTGTTGTATATGATATCCAGACAGAACAATTAGTTGGTGTTTGTCTTAATGAAATTAAATTCGTAGATGATAAACATATAATTAATGAAACAAATGAAAAAATTTATTTTATTCTTCATTTTTTAAATCAAATGCATAAAAATACAAATCTTTTTCAACAATTTCAAACAAATTCACTTCTTCATATATTCATAATTAATATACAAAAGAACTATCGTGGTTATGGACTTGGTTCAAAATTAATTTCAGCTAGTATTGAACATGCAAAAACAATTGATATTAAAGGAATTTATGCGGAAGCAACAAATATTTATTCATTGAATTGTTTTAAACAACAAGGTTTTCAGAGTTATGATCAAATTAATTATACTGATTATGATCAAATTCGTTTAGCAAATCTGATTGATTCTCATGAAAATCAATGTCAACTTGTTGCACGAAATGTTTAGAAAACTTATATTATGCCTAAAAAAAAGGAGTACTTCAAGATTCAAACCGTTGAACATCTAAATTATATTATCGAATATGCCAATATGTATTGTATTTTATTTGTACTTGAATATATCGAATAAAAAATGATTATCTACACTAAAACAGATCGTATTAACTCGTTCGGAGAATCAGCACCTATACCAAAAGACCATTTTTAACTCCCACAATATGTTCATTATATTCATTTTTACGCGTTTTTTGCATTATCGAAACATTCATTCATACACAATTCATACATGAAATCAATGTTATTCTTATTGTATCTATATATTATATATTTTTCTCAATGCTTTCTTTTGTGCTGTGTTGTGTTATGATATTCACTTGATTTGATGATATTATAGTGTGTGTGTACTAGAACGTAAAATCAATATTTTTCATCAAAAGATGTATCAAATGACATTTACCCTTTGAGAGTTGTGATCACAAGGTGAACGTGAAATTAAATTTAGATGTTTTCGACACTAATAAACAAATCAAAGGAAAGATATTGATAATAAGTGTGAATTTCATATTTTTGTTGCATTTCATGAAGAATAATAAATCATCACTTATTTCTTTCTATATGTATCTCTATCACATGTGCATGTCAGGTATTGTCACGTGAGATAGTAATAAATTGTTTTTGTCTCATGAAAACAGTTTTCTTCGTTACTTTGTCTCTATATATATGCGCACATCTACTCTCATAGTTTCACAAACCAGTTCTCATCGTACTTCAGTTGTACTTCACTTCACATTATTACTATTAATATGCCAGCCTGTTGTCGTTCATCATGTTGTGGTTGCGGTTGTGGTTGTTGCAGCAGTCCTTGTTGTAATTCATGTTGTAGTTCATGCTGTGATCCATGCTGTGATCCTTGTTGTGGTTCTTGTTGTGGCTCTTGCTGTGATCCTTGCTGTGATTCATGCTGTGGTCCTTGTTGTTGTAGTCCACGATGTTGTGTACGTACTACTGTATGCTGCTGCAAACCAACCTGCAAAGTTATCAGAAAGAAAACCGTCACCGTTCGTAAAGCATGTACCAAGGTATGCTGTTGTTGATATTAACATTTTTGATCTTTTTCTATGAACTGATTCAATATCTAATGTATCACTATTAGAGTATTCTCTAACAATATTCGTATTACTCTTTCTTTTTTTTATTTTGCTTTATACTTTTGTTTACTTGTTGCACAGTTAGAAAGAAGAAGATGTATTACATCACCTTCTTTGTTTTTATACACTTTGACAAGTAGTAAGAGAGATACATTTAGATCATTCTATTTCTTCACCTTATTTCCTTTGCTCCTCTCTCTCTCACTTGTATGTGCCTGGACAGGATGTGTATGAATAGCTAGTTTTTTTAAATAAAATTATTTAGTAAACAAGTAGAATATTCTTCACCTCATTCGATCATTTCAATTACAAAAGAGTTTTGTAATAATGAAGAAAAAACTTTGTTTGTTTATTCTTTATACATTTGGTTTCTGTCAAGATCCGTGCAATCAAATGTCGCACGACATACCATTTCAACTAGAGAAAGGTTGAGAGGATAGGTGTGGTTATAAGGTACTTGCCATGCCATTATTCACACTCACATCCACACATCTTTATCAAAGTCTAAAAGGGAAACAAAAATGAAACTGATACTTATAAAAAAATTCTTTATGTTTATCATAAAATACAGAAAATTATCAAACATCAAATGTAGAAGACTGATAAATTGCTTTTAGAAAATATTATGCACTGACGAATCAAAAGTTGTAGAGAATTCCTGTTCAACTTGATTATAGTATATTGCTTTCTTGACTACCAATTAATTCTGATTGTCTAGATTAAATAAAAACAATGAAAGATGAACTAAAATCATGTTGTACCTTATTGATGTACAATACATCACGAAGATATTGTGCGCCAGTATGGCGAATGTCGCACTTCATGAGATTCATTGTTATGTGCGCCTGTAGCAAGTGTCAATGCTGAGTTAATAAGAGATGGAGATAAATATTATCTTACTCGATTTATCTTTAATATCTCACTAAGATATTGTGTACCTTGTTCGCGGATATTGTTTCCAACTAGATCTAGTGTCGTAAGTGCCTGTGACGAATGAAGAAGGTGAGATGATGCGATAGACTAATTTTACTGGTACAACAAGAAGTGATGAACTAACGTTGTGAGACATATTTTTGATTTGATCTATTCGGGTAAAATGCATGTTCCTCTATAAAATTCGTTGTGGCGCTAGTGAATGTATTATGTTTCTTTGTGATTGTGCAATATTTTGGTAATTACACAGAACAGTAAAATGACGTTTTGAAAGTAAAAGAAATAACTTCTTTGTTATTACCATGTGCTTTCTAAAACATTTTTTTTCCATTTCTGCGTATATTATGATCGCTTCCATCTTGTATTATATTACTAGTAGTACCATCTCAAGTTCATTTCTAATAACTAATAATAGATATTCATACAGTCATCATGATTATTTATGATTATAAACGAACTAATTTGATTTTTTCATAAATATGTATTGTTTTGATGGTGAGGGTGAGTTAGCAAAGATGTATGATCGATGCTCAGACCGTTACCCAATCAAGCCCGTATTCTTTTATTTTGATGAATAATGTTACTAATGACATCATTGAATAATCCATTAAAAATCGTATTAAACGGATATTTTAGAATTTTATTCAATTTAACTTTAGACATTCACAAGATATCAACTTTATTCAACATTCTATAGTTTCGAAATATTTCATTTTTATTATGAAATTATTATAGAAAACTATTTATCAGTCAAATAATTTAAATATTCAATAAAATGTAACTATTGATTTAATCTATCTAATTGTTAACGATTGCATATAAAACAAGTAAACTACTTCAAATGAAAAATACAAAAGAATACATGATAGAATATGAATTGTTTGTATTTATTTAGGTAGTAAAAAATAGTCTAATTGAATGGAATTCTTAGATGTGGGTGTTAGCATTTAAATTAATTATCATTGTCGAAATAATGAATGATAAACACCTGATCGAAAGATAAAATCGAATTACGATATTTCTTTTGTTTTAATGTTTATTCTTTGTGTAGACTTTAAATAATCAACAAAACGTTGTGTTCAAAAACAAATTCTTAAACTATGCTTCCCTCTTTTTTTTTCTTAATTTTCTTCTGTGTTTTTTTTCTATTTGCTTATTTGTTCATCTGTATCTCAAACATTTATCGTTGACTACTAACTATAATAACTTGTCTTTCTTTTATTTTCACTGTTTTAATAACTCATTTCAACAGAAGAAACTTTGTATTGATTACAATAAGTAAGTGTGATAGTTGATTAATTTTTATTATTTTAGTAAATATGAAATAAATCGCAGAAACTTAATACCTAACAAGATGATTATTAGGTTCTAGCAGTGCTGAAGATGTTCTTAAATACAATAGGAGAAAAATAAGCATAATTAAAAGTGAAAAATAAATAAAAATAAAAAAAAAAGAAGAGCACAAAGAAATGTATACTACACATATTCCACTCATAGATATCAACAAGAAAAGATTATTACAAAACACGAAGGATAACACCATCAAATGAAGAAATCTAGATGAATATTCTCTGTATCGTTCCAATTTTATTATATGCATCGTCGTACTGAGCAGAACCGTGTTTTTTTTATTAGATAATTTTTATTATTTAAGATTTGCGTCTTGGATTGATTTACTATTATGGAAGATAACTAATATTTCAATATAACAAATTGTTTGTGTATACATTGCTTTGTAGTGTTGCTAATGAGTCATCTTTTCTTTTGTTATAAAACAATTTAAGAAAACAATGTCCTTTTTTTCCCAGAATATTTTATATTACTGCCGCCTTGGTAAAATATTGTGGGAGGAAAAGCGTGACTGTTTTTCCTGACTTCTTCCTTTTTTTCATCATCTTAAAAGTTATTCAATATTTAATACTTTATTCAGAGATTGCTTGCAATTGCAGTATTAAAAAAAATGTTTACATTTACAGCTACCATTTTCTAATTGAAGAAAACGTTGAAAATCTTTCTTTTCATGGATGAGTGTGACTATAACTAATAATATTCTTATTCCTTCTTCAAAATTTTTCAAAAATGAATTCATACGTTACTGAATGATTTGCCTGTATTGTTTGTTGAATATTTTTAGTGGTACATATTTTTGAATATATGCATGGATTATGGACAAAAATAAAGCATTATCTTCTAGCAGTGAATTTATTTCCATCAATACCACCATCAACTAATGAATCTGACCTTCGGAATCAACGAATATCAACAAGATTATTTATCATCATATTAGTTTTCTCAACAACTATTCTTATTGGATATAATTTTTTTATTGAGGTTACAAAGGTTAATAATATTAATTCACCTGATCTTGCTCAATATTTAGATTTATATTCACAATATCCACAAACATTAACATGTCCATGTACTGATATAACGATAAAATATGAAGAATTTCTTGAAATTGATTATACATTACATCAACTATGCAGTAGTGTTTTTGTTACTAATGATTGGATTGCATATCTTGCTCAAAATCACATACTAACAACAGATTATGTGGCAGGCTTTCTCGAATTAGGTACATATATGTTTCAAGCACTGAAAACATTTTGTGAATCAAGTAATAAAACAA